CAACAAATTGGAACAATTCATGGAAGTGGTCGCGGGCAAATTCATGGAGATTGAAGCTGGTCAGAGGAACCAGCAGGCACTCTTGCAGGATATGGACACCAAAATTGGGCACCTGCCAGATGCCCTTTCTTCCAGACCAACTGGCAAACTTCCCGGGCAACCTTGCCAAATCCTAGAAATCAAAAGGAGGGGTTACAGGCCATAATGCTGAGAAGTGGGACTGTGAATGAGGATGCGCCGTCGAAGAGTACCAGGAAGGTGACACAGATCATCCTGGAGCCGGAAGAGGACCTGGTATTGAAAAAGGAGCCAGAGGCTCAAGCTCCAAAGCCACGGCCAGTAATGACTGAATATAAGCCTAAGCTCCCTTTTCCCACCAGGATTTACAAATACAGGCTTGAGGCAGAGTTTGGCAATTTCCTATCCATGCTCAAGAAGCTGAATGTTCAAGTTCCCTTCATGGAGGCACTATCTCATATGCCTAAATACGCAAAGTTCCTGAAGGAGCTTCTCTCGAAGAAGCGAAAGCTGAGCGAGATGGCCACTGTGGAGCTCAGCAAGGAGTGCTCGGCCATTCTGCAGAACAAGCTTCCGCCGAAGTAGAAGGACCCAGGTAGTTTTACTGTCTCGTGCTCTATTGGTAAATTGCATGTAGATAGGTCCTTTGCGGATTTAGGTGCTAGTATTAATGTTATACTATATAAATTGTTCAAGAAACTAGGCCTAGGTGAACCCAGTGCAAATAGGATGAGTATTCAATTATCTTGTGGATTTTGTTGTCTTGGACATCAATGAAGACGCAGAAGTGCTCCTTATAATAGGAAGGCCTTTCCTTGACACCGTCAAGGCTCTTATAAATGTGCATGATGGGACCTTAGTCTTGAGAGATGGCGAGGAGCAGATAACATTTTCCATTTCTAATAATATGACTGTTATCTCGTCTGTCCATGTTGTCTCTCACCAGATGCACGAGTTTGTCGTGTATCCTTTTGTGCCTCTCGTTTTGCAGGACTCGCCTCCCATATCTTCGTCGCCACTCCCATCCACCCCATTACCAAAAGAAAAGATCAAGGAGGAGTGGCGGCCGAAACTGTAGGTAGCTAAGCCTGCTGAAAAGGAAGCTGGAGACCACTATGAGCTGGTCCCGACCCCTGAGCCATGACCGCCCTAGTCATCCGAGTATTCACTCGCTTGAGGGCTCGAAGTACTGTTCCCTGCAAAATCCTGCTCAGTATGCTTTGAATTGACAGTCTTTATGGTGATATGCAACCTAGGGAGGTAGTTGTAGCACTATGGAGGATGTTGAAGTATAAGACTTTTTATATATGTCTCTCTGCTATGCCGGTTGATTTTGTGAACTAGTGGATTTAGGACCGTTTATTCATTTGGTATTGATGACTCCTCTTATGTTTGTGTTGTGGACTCGTGTATCGAAAAAGGGTTCTCAAATGTGAAATGAAAAAGCAGTTGGTCCTCCATGTCAAAAAAACTTTGAAATTTTGAGACATGGGGTAAGCCCAACGTTGTGGCACCGTTCATTGCACAAAATCGGGTTTTGGAAGAGATTTTAGTGATCCTTGGTGGGGTAGGCCTACAAGGTGAAGCTAAGCCGTCTCTAGTACTAGTAAAATTTCCACCCGTTGAACGGTTTGCCTACTCAAGGATGTGTTTTTAAGGGCACGGATAGAGCTTCTGACACCCCTTAATTTCATTGACCCTCCACACGAAGTGAGGAATAAGAGTTAAAAGAAGTACTCTAGCAAGCGACAGATGTACAGAAATTGCTCTTGCTCACCTAGTAAGTGCAGACCGTGCATACAAACTGCAGTTGGAACCCCAACAAAGTAAAACAAAAGAAAAAGAAACGAATAGTAAGAAGAAGGGGTTCCAACAAGTGAAATGAAATGAAAGAGAACCCGATACAAAGAGTCCTTGGTTGTTGAATTGTGTGAGTCTCCCTATCCATGGATTGGATGTCTTAGTTCCACTGCTTCTCACGATCCTGGCTTGAGTCTAGTAATCCAATTGAGGGAGATAGGGGACATCTTAGAAGACCAAATGACCTCGTAAGTTGCTAAATGATCTAAAAAATCCTCTGCCGATGATCGGGGTTCCATGTTGCTATAAAGGTCTGAAGAGCTGCATTGGTTGAGTCAGGTTTGCTTGGGGACAAGCAAACGGTTAAGTGTGGGGGAATTTGATGACTCGATATTTACACATGTTTTTGTCTACCATTCTCATACCGTTTGAGCCTCATTTCTGATGTTTTAGATCGATTTCATGCTAAGTTGTTCTTGTTTGTGATTTTTTAGGTCCTAGTACGTGAATGAAGGTTTGGGCACGAGTTCGGGGTCGATTGGAAGAAGTTGGGACGTTTGGCGAGAAGCTGAGGAGACCACACGACCAGACCTAGATTCCACACTGTCGTGTGGCCTGACCGTGTGATCGGGCAGAACTGGGTTTTTAACCCAATTTCGGGTCTTTGAAGAGGGAGACGAATTTCCAGAGCAAAAACAGAGTCCTAGAGAGAGAAAGTGCAAAGAACAAACCCTAGGAGCGATTTTGGAGCTGGGTTTTATCAATCAAGCTTGGATTTCATCCTAGGAGTGAAGATTATCATCCCATACATATTCTTCCCATTGTTATGAGTATGACTACTTTGTATTCTGTTTTCCTTGCTTTCTCTATGGAGTAGAACTCTCTCTCACTTGGGTATGAAGATCTGTAGTTCCATGTGTTGGGGATATTGATTGTAGTGACTTTTGGATTGATATACTGATTGGTTTTCATCGATTGAAGTGTGTTTATTGAGTCAATTGAATCCTGATCATATTCGCTTGATTTCTGCTGCAACCTAAGATAGATAGAATCTGATTAGGTTGTTAGAGCTTCTTCAATTGATAGGAGTGGATTGATTATACGAGAGTTTCCATTGCTCTATACTGGAATCCAATTCCAGTATTGGAGTTCTGTGTTAACTGCCTTAGCTTTCTATCCCGATGAAGACTAGTCGTCGGCCGGTTAGTTTGTCTAAGAGGGCTTGGTCAGCTTAAGAGATTCCAAGCTACTGTCGGATCTTTCGCAGTTTAATCAACAGTAATCAACCAAAGGAAATTACAACTTTGACCTAACTAGGGAGCTAGGGGGGCTCATTCCTGAGTGAATCTTCCCTTGGTTGAGAACCTCGAACTATTTCCTGCTTTCTTACTGCTTTTGTTTGCAATCACTCTCACCACACTTAGTCCCGCTAGATAACAGGTAGTCATGGAGTAGGGAGTAGATCTAGACCCCGGGTTGAGAAATTGAACTTGCTGCTATTCTGCATTTCCATTATGCGATTGCACGTTGTCGCAGTTTGGTGTTGTGTTTTAGCGTGTCAGGGATGTTACAGTATCTCAAACGCACGCCTGGACAAGGCTTATTTTTACAGGATACTGACTCTCTCTAGACCTTTTTTTTACCGTGATGTTGACTACGGAGGTTGACAACAGACTCATCGTTCGACCACATGTTATCTTGTCAAGCTTGGTTTTGCACCCATTTCTTGGCTGACCAAGAAACAAAGTGACGTTGTCTGTTCTTCTACACAGGGAGAGTACAGTGTCATAGCCACTACAGTTACTAAGGTGTTTTGGCTTTGCTGGTTACTTTTTGAACTTATTGTTCCCCAGTTTTATCTTATTACTCTCTACTATGATAATCATGCTACTCATCACCTTGCCTCTAATCCAGCTTTTCAGGAGAGGACCAAACATGTTGAGATGAACGACTACTTCGTCCGTGAGCATATTCAGTCTCGGGACATTCAACCGTCCAAGATTCACACTTTTGAGCAGTTTGTGGATATCTTCACTAAGGCTCTAGGTACAAATCATTTCATTTGTTGCTTTCCACACTGGGCATTTCGAATATTCACGTCACAACTTGAGTGGATTTGGAGAGGAAAGTTACAGCATGGGAGGCAATTCATAGTCTGGATCGTGACTCTCACGATCTGGTTGTCGCCTTTTTCCTGTCTCGGTCAATTTGGCGATGTCACGGACTGGGAGGGAACTCTCAAGGGCAGTTTGGCGATGTCATGGCCGTGACCTTCACCCGAATTTGGGGTTTATAGGTTTATTTCCTTATTTGTGGACATTGGTCATTGGTTGATGAGTCACAACCTAGCTATTGCAAGAAATAACTATTTCTATGTCATTTTAAGAAGTTGTATCTTCTTTCCATGCAAGATTAAAAAAACATCAGTAAGAGAAAACAAAAGGTCCTTACGGAGTTTTCCGTGAAGTAGTCTCGTTGATTGTTGTAATGTCGGTGACATGTCGGACGGTACAACCAGGTTTAACCGATATCAGTCACAAAACAACTGGAACGCCCCTGGTTATTGTCAGACGGTACAACCAGGTTTAACCGATATCAGTCAGGACGGTACAACTATGTCGATTTGGTTATTAATTAATTTTTTTATTTGTTTCTTTAATTTGAAATTTAAATGTTGATGTTGTTTTTTGGATTCAAGTATGAATGCTTATGTTATTTGTTGGATTCAAGTATCAATATTTAGATATTGACGTTAAATCTTGTATTTAAATATGACTATTTTCATTTGATTTGAAAAATGATTTTTTATTTAAATATGAATGTAGATTCTAGAGAATCTTCTAATATGTTATATATATGGCGAAATTCATAACTTCTAATATGTTATAGATATGTTGAAATTCATATAGTGTTAATGATATCCTACTTCTCTACATGTTTTACCAAAATCGACATGACCTAACATAAACCGGTTATATTACTGGTCGGAGCATACCACTTGCCAAATCGGCATAACGCTATAAACCGATTTTACAATCTTGATCTCGTTCGAACAACATAAACACATGTGTCATTTTTCTCTTATATTCGTATTTATCAACTTGCAAGGATGAACTCAATTCCTCCTGAAGAAAACTTAGATTCTCAAGCCTATTTCAATCTTCGTATAACCGAGTGGATATCGTGTGTCGTTCTAAGAGTTTTGAAGGAACAAAGGAAGTTACTTTAATGGGAAAGAAGAAAAAAAAAACATTCACATCAGGTCATGGGCCATGGGTTCCTATGTGTTGAAAGAAAACAAGAAAACAGTCGTAGAGTAATCAGTTTAATGAAAACTGAAAAGTGGTGGTGGGGACTGGGGGAGAGGGCATGGAAAAGGAAACGGAAGCAGAAAGACTTCCTTCTCTTCTCCAAGTTCTCTGACTCACTTCTCTCTTGCTTTCTTTATTCTCCTTTAATATCATTATATTATCAAGGAATTGATTAATACTCCCCAAGCAAAGCAGTACTGTAACAGAGCCACACAGACCCATAATTGTACTGCCTGCTAGCTGCTGCCTGCTGCCCTGCTCTGCTCTGCTCCAACACAAATCCAAACGCACCCAGTTTCCATTCTTCCGTTTCCTTTCCGACTTCACTTCTTTATTATTGTGTGAACAGAAGAAAGGATCCAAATCCCATTATTATCACCACCACCACCACCACCACCTAACTCCTTCGAAAATCTTCCATTAACCTTACTCGATCCACTTTTCACCCATCTCCCCCCTCCTATGGGAAGAAGAAGAACAACAACAACAAGAAGAAGAGCCTGCTGATTCTGCTTCTGGGTCGGTCTCTCTCTTTCGTTTTCTTCTCCTCCTCTCAAAAAGATGCAAACTTTAAGCAGTACCCAGCTGGAAAGGGAGAGGGAGAGGGAGCATCATTTCAGCCGCAGCAGCAGTGACCTGTCATTTGGGGAGATTGGGGCTCACCGGAACTCCACCGCCTCCGATGGCATCTCCGACTTGGATTTGGAGAGTGGGGAATTGGAGCTGAAGGTGCATTCCGCTGATCATATTAATAATGATAAGGCTGCTGCTGCTAGAGATTGCAGGATTTGCCATTTGGGTCTGCTGAGTAATGAGCATGAGAGCGGGGTGGCCATTCAGCTGGGCTGTTGCTGTAAAGGCGATCTCGCTGCCGCTCACAAGAAGTGCGCCGAGACTTGGTTCAAGATAAAGGGTAACTTGTAAGTCTGCAACTTTCTTCTACTAACCAACTCCATAAAAGGGCTTGTTTTCGTCCTTTTTTCTGGAATTGAGGCTCTCTTGTTTTGGTTTGATCCAACGCCAAGTTCAGCTTTTTCTGTCTATAATTGGAATCATGAGATCTTCTTAGATTGTTCTTTGTCTGATTCGCACGGCATAACTGTGGAATGTACTTTTCTCCCACTTCAGCAAAGCACTTGAGATTTAACTAGGCAGCAAACGCAGCCTTCCACTATAAAAAGTGGATTACTACCAAAAGCAAAACCAACAATCAGAATGCTATTTGTGGGGCGGGTTTCTACAGTTTTATGGCATCTTTCTGCCCTATTTCCCCCTTTTTCATGTTCTTTAAGCAAAGAATTGATTTGGATATAGTGGGTATTCCCTCCCCATTCTCCAATGGAGGATTAGATCACAGCAGATCGTCTGGTTTTGCCAAATGTGAAGAGACAAAGTTTCCACCTTACATGCTTAGTTAGTTGTGGCTGACAATACCCTACTTTTACATTGAATGTTCTTCTGTAACTTGTAATTGTTGATACGTTTTGTTCTTCCTGCTGCCTTTCCATTGTCCTTATCCCTGTGCCTCTTGTGGAGGAGTCAGCTGGGGAAGAAGAACTTTACAGAAAAATTTAAGTGAGGAGTTGGATTATAACTGAGCACTAGCAAGCTTTTTCTTTGTGGAATCAAAATGTGAAATGCTTTATAATGGCCTTGCTTTTTTCTCCAAGACATGGTGGTTAGCCAGTCAGGATGGTGTATGTTCAAATGCAAGTCGAAGCACCTTTCCTTTTAAGGCAAGCTGAGAGACCCTTTTCCCAGTACAGCACTCATAGGCTGTGCAGACAAGTTTCAGTTGAGTTTGAAATTGGTGCAATGGGATTTGTGGTAATCCTACACAGTAATCCATCGGCGATCTTCATATTGCTGTGATATTGAATAAAAAAGAAAACGCTTTGAATCAATGTTCTGTTTGGGGGACCAGGAGAAGGAAATGACAGCAAGTATATAGTTGACTAGTTGTGTAGTTTTTTTCTTATACCAATGAAGAGCTTCTGGTTGGCAGAAGTCTCCCCATTTACCATGTTCTGAATCTTAGATGAGACTTAAGAAATCCCACTTGCAAAAACTTCCCATTTGAAATGTAACACAAATTCGTTGTGCAGGATATGTGAGATCTGTGGTGCTGCAGCCGTTAATGTTGCTGGGGAGTTGACAAACATGGCGTTCAATGCAAATGCTGCTGCATCAGTACCCGCAACAGCTCCAGTAGTTCTGGTGGAAGCCAGGCCGGCGTGGCATAGCCGCCGTATTATGAACTTCCTACTCGCTTGCATGGTTCTCGCCTTTGTTGTTTCCTGGCTCTTCCATTTCAAAATTCTTCCATGAGTCCACATCCCAAAACAGAGGGGAGCTGGTAGCTAAGCTAGGCAAATCTGCAAATTATTGTTATGTAAAAAGCTAGAGGGCATCGTGTATTGATTGTTTGTATAATAGTTTCAGGCCTAGATGTAAGAGTCCCAAGCACTCCTCATTTTCGTATATTCCGATTTGAATTTTTCGACATTAGAAATCAAAATTGAAGAGCATAGCTTACTGTTGTGTCCAAAATTTGCCTTCTTCTCAAGTCCAAACCTGGAGAAAGGATTCTGATCTCTGGGATCTACATCTGGTAATGATTTACGATAGAAGACTCTGACAAGCAATGTGTAACAAAATACAATCAAACATGATATGATTGGCAATGGTCGTCGTCATTTTTCAATCCGAAACGCTCTAAGTTTCCATTTCTGAGTCACTCTTTGTTTCCATTTTTGTGGGATTGTTCATTCTGAAGTCAGCAACAGCCTTGTCCAGAGTTCCCCTCACATGCTGGCACATTAGCATCAAATTCTGGCATCCATCCTTCAGTACCTCCCTTGCTGGCTCACCTGCATAATTCCCATTCCAAAACATTCTTACTCATAACGAAACACATGTTAATAGTAGAAAAAAAGCAGTCACTCTTGCCACATATTCTTCTCCTGGAACAGATGAGCCCCTGTACTTTAACTAGAGAAGCTACTTTGGTCCAATCACAACAGTTATTTGAATTTTCTACGTGAAATACAGATCCATGACTAAAGAAGAGTTTGAGCTAACATGAGATAGAAAACAGGAAACGAACAGCAGACCCATTTGTAGCAAGATACTAAACAAGTTCTTGCTCCCCCAAGATTCTGGCATGAAATCAGGATACGAAGAAACGGGAATTCGACAGTAGTACCTGTAGTTTGAATTCTAATGTTAACACGAGCATCTGAGGGATGAGGAATGCTGTAACCACAGACTGATACCCTTGGACTGCAACAGTAACACATGCGGGTGAGCTCATCACGTAATAAAAAGAAACAACTTTTTCAGAGCAATTGGAAGTAGTTAAGGGAACACGGACTCTTGATTCAAGCAGAATCGGACGGAATTTGCAAGTGTGTGGTCTTCATCAACAAAAGAGAAGGTTGCCTTGCTTGGATCATTCAGAGAACCGTGCTCCATTTCTCTACGATTTCCAGCAACACACATCAATCAATCGCCCTCATGATAGTACAATAAAGATCAAATTGAACCCACAAAAAGAAAAAGAAGGGCAGGGAAGGGATCCATCGATGGAAAAGGGAAAAAGAAGAGCGCCTTTGATACAACCATTCACTGAAAACTACATCAGCATCTTCAACTCAAAATTTTGTGAACTAACCCCCTCCATGATTTTGATACAGTCTCACTCTGCTAGCTCCCTCACGGTTTTATTCATTAAGACAGATTCTTGATGAATTCCTCCATCTCTGCTGGCTTAATTCTAAACCCACCATTAGCAATCCCGCCACCACATGCAGTCCAAGTCGCCAGTAAATCTCAAACCAAACATACCCAACAGAACTCACTAAATAATCAGTACCTGCGGAGAAGGAAGAGTGACCGACGGATAGGTAACCGGCCGCAGGCGGAGTCTGCTCTGCTGGGAGAAAAACGAAGTCGGGGAACAGGGAGAGAAGGGTCGAACCGTTGAAAGGGTTTTAGCAATTATAGGGTTTTGTTATCCAATTTTCTTCGTTTCCTTTCGATTTCTTTTGTATAAACGACAGCGTTTTTAACGCTGAGATTTTTATTTCCGGGTAAAGCCTTTTACTTGCCTGTCATCCTCTCACTCTCAGTGGCTAACTGACTTGCCGTGCAGCCTTGAGGCTAGGTGTAAAGCAACGACTGGTCGTTCTGAAGTTTGAGTAACAGCCCAGTGATTTTATCCAATAAATGTAAACTCCGTCTCCGTCAGTCGCACATCCTAAACCTAAAACCCTAGCGGGAAATATTGCTTTCTTATTCCACAAACACAAAGAAGGGTTTTCTTTTTGGCGGTGAATCTGACGACCGCGGGATCCCGGTGACAAAGCCCTAATCTTCATTCATCCGAAACCGCCATCGAGAATCAGGTTCAATTTGAACTTCTCGATTCTCTCCGTTCCTTTGCTTCTGAAAGCGATTGCATTGGGCGAAGGTTTCTCAGTACCAGTAGCGTCTTTGTTGTTTCAGGTTCTAATGGCTGCCAACAACAGCCCTCTCCCCGATGGTGTGACCAAAGAACAGGTAAACCACCGCTTCTGGCTCGCTACCCACTCCAGTTTGTCTCTAGTGCGGCTTATTCCGACTGATATTGACTGTTACGCTCTTCTCGTTCGTATCTTTAAATTGTATAATTTTTGCCTTCATGATGAAAGAATTGTTACTAATGGTTCTGTGATTTGCTGTTGTCATTCAGTTACTTGATTTGGTTTTTATGGATATATGGTAGGTTATGATTTTTGCTCGTACATTTGGGTTTATGCGTACTCGATTAATTTTAGTGTTCGTTGGAAATTTGTGTGTTAGGCCTTTGGCATGGCTGAGACTGAGATGGAATACAGAGTGGAGTTGTTCAATAGGTAAGCTTCTGGACCCAAGTCGCTTTCATGAACGCCTCTTCATTTCTCTGTTGGGATTTGTTGACTTTGCAGTGGAATGTATAAGTATGAGCAATCTTTCTAGTGTAATCATCCAAGTATTTGAACATCTCTGCCCGAATTTTGTAAGTTTAGATTATAGTGTTTGGGTTCATGTCACTTTCTGTATGGACAATGTCTGAAACGTACTCGTCTTGATGTTCTTGTCGGTCTCTCTGATTTTTTTATGTTTGGTGTTTGAAACTGATTTATGGCCTCCTTGATCACTGTATCGTTGTAGATTTAGAGTGCTCTTGCATAGTTCCATTGTATGTAGTTGCGTTTTCCCATGGCTTTGTATACTTGAGCTGTGAACCCTTCGATGTGAACCCTTTAAAATGATTTGTTCAGAAATTGCCTTTAGATGCATGCCCCCTTCCTGTCCACATACTAACTTCTGCGTATAGGCCAGTATTCTTATTAAGCTCTAAATCAGTGAAGGTAGAAATGCTTGACAGATTGAGTAAACCCTATTTTCTTTTCTTGTTTCAGGCTTTCACAGACATGCTTCAGTAAGTGTGTTGACAAAAGGTATCCCGACCGTTTCATGAATGTGTTTCTTGAATTTGCTCGTTCTTCCCTTGGTTTAAATCTCAATTTATTTAGCATTCATTCATCTGACTTGGCTCTAACAAAGAAGGTGCTTCCCTGCATTTCAGGTACAAGGAGTCTGAGCTGAACATGGGCGAGAATAGCTGCATTGATCGCTGTGTTTCAAAGTATTGGCTGGTGAGCTTCTATCTTCATCTCTGGGATTCTGTCATGTTCTTGTTAGCACTTCCCAACAAATATTATGTCGTCTTGAGTTCTTTATTGCTTCATTGAAACTTGCATTTTATTTCCACTCTAGCTTCTTATGGTCCTAACAATGACGTTGGCTACTCTTGCAGGTGAACGGACTTGTTGGTCAGATGCTAAGTGCTGGTGGTCAGCGTCCCATGTGAAATGCCAGAGCTTAGCTTGATATCTCTGGGCCTTGGAATTCTGCGAGGACACCAAACCATTTATGTGTTTTTTTTTTTTTTTTAATCTTGTTCCGGATGTATTCACTGTAAGAACTAGCGTTACTCTGCAAAGAATTCTTATAGCTATTTTCTGCCTATAGTGAATAGGGAAGCCATTTTTGGGCTGATCTTGTTCCAGGCATGATGTGATTGTGGGTTGTGGTTATCACATAGTGCCCTGCCCCTGGTGGATTGTCATAATAAGATCCTACTGATTCACTAATCTGTATTTAGTATTTACTTTTCTACTAGTCTCGACTGACGATTTATCATTGGTGGTGTCACTCCCTAAATTAAACCCTAAATTCATGAACCCAAATGAGTCTATCGCCTACTTTTCTAAGGCTCAAATAGAATTAGTAGAACCTGAATTCTAAATGAGAACCCTAAATCCTAAGTTGTGATCCCTAAACCAAAAACCCTAACATTTGAAAATTGTCGTAGTAAGAACTAAGAAAGAGAGACGGCGAGTGTGAGTTTTACAACCAATAGGTAAATATTTGGACTTTGGATAACGTTTTAACTTCATGAGTTTAAACCCGAGCTTGCAATGAAGTTTCTTATACTCTAAACTCAAAGATCAAAGGTAAACTTGAAATTCACATGTCATCTAATCCACCTATGTTCCTGAACCACACTATCAAACTTTAAACGGAGTGATTGAGCTACATTAGCTCGTGAGCCTGACAAACCAAACAAGATATGGTTCAAAACTAAAGTATTTAGTAAATCAAATATTTTGAGAGTTGACTCATGATACGGGCTCAAATTATATCGATCGTGCTATTCCTTTTCTTGGCAGGAAGAAACCAGTGCTCTACTTTCGTGGCTAGAACAACCAGTATGTCTATTGACTCAAATAATGCTTGTCGTTTATTCATTCATGAAAAACTTAAATAACCAATGTTTGAACAAAGAAATCCTAACCAGCAGGAACTACTTCCCACGTCTACCTAACCCTCCTCCACTTAAGGTGGGGATGATCTTTATTTGAAACAACCAAAACAACCAATTGCAGATACCCCCTTGACTCGATCAATAACAAACAAACCTACTACTACCCTCGGCAAGCTTAATAGTTTCGTTACTCGTAATCGCGATAGCGGGGGTTGGGCTGTGGTACCCGAGTCGAATGACGTGTAGGCCCATTGTGGCGTGGGAGCCCATCATTACCACCCCCAGAAGAATTGGCATTGTCCTCAATGCCGAGCTGGACAAAGCGCTCGTTGAAGACCACGGCAGATTCCCAGGTGGCGTCCTCCGCGGCCAAACCCTTCCATTTGACGAGCAGCTCCTCATTAAGGCGAGAGCCGCGTTTGACCCAGCGGGTCTCCAATATACGTTCAGGCTGTAGGAGAAGATCCCCCTCATCACCAATGGGAGGAACCTCAGTAGCAGCAGGTGGGTCGGAAAGCAAACAACGTCGCAGCAGGGATACATGGAAGACGGGGTGAACGCGGCTACCAGCGGGTAAGGCGAGGCGATACGGGACGGGGCCAATGCATTCTGTGATCATGTACGGCCCGTAATGCGACAGGCCAGCTTCTGAGATGCGCGACGAAACACAGTATGTTGACGGTATGGCTATAGCTTCAAGTAAACCCAGTCGCCGACATTAAACTTCACTTCTCGGCGGTGAAGATCAGCATTCTGTTTCATTCGGTTTTGGGCCACCGCGAGGTTGGATTTCAGCTCGTTGAGGAGTTCGTTGCGATCGATCAAGGCGCGGTCAGCTTCATGAACAGATGTCGTGCCTGGTCTATAGTTGGGTATGGCGGACGGCTGGCGACCGTAGAGGGCCTGGAAAGGAGTCATGCCGGTTGGGCTGTGGAAACTGGTGTTATACCAATATTCAGCCCAGGGCAGTGAAGCTAGCCATTTCCGCGGTTGTTGATGAGTGAAGCACCGAAGGTATTGTTCCAAGCATCGATTAACGACTTCGGTCTGACCGTCGGTTTGAGGATGGTACGACGATAACATGTTGAGGAGGGTGCCGGACCGGCGATGAAGTTCCTTCCAAAAATGGCTCATAAACACCCGGTCACGGTCGCTAACAATGGAGCGGGGCAGACCGTGTAGTCGGACGATCCCGGTGATGAAGCTGTCGGCCACGGTACGGGCGGAGTAGGGATGAGCCAGTGGCAAGAAGTGACCGTACTTGGTCAGCTGGTCGACGACGAACAGGATTACCGTTTTTCCCCCAGAGCTTGGTAACCCGTCGATGAAGTCGAGGGAGATGTCCTCCCATACGTCTGTCGGGATTGGTAGGGGCTGTAGGAGGCCCGCAGGCGAGAGAGATTGGGCCTTGGCTCTTTGGCAGACATCGCAGGAGTTGACGAAGCTTCGGACATCGTCCATCATTCCCGGCCAGAAGAAGAGAGCGGCGAGACGGCGGTAGGTGCATTCTATGCCCGAATGGCCGCCGATTGGGGTGCAATGGAATTCTTCCAAGAGCTGGCGAATGTGAGGAGAGTGAGGAGGGACGACGATCCGATTGCGGAAGAGGACCATGTTGTTTCGGATTGTGTATTGCCCAGGATTGGCCGACTTCTCCCTAGCTAGCACGCGCTGCATATATGGATTGGTGAGAGTCGTTTGTTGAAGGGATTCCCACAACGTCGTGTGTGGGATGGAGACCGCAAGAACAGCGGCTTCAGTTGGGTGGCGGCTGAGAGAATCGGCAGAGAGATTTTCCTTCCCGGGTTTGTAGACAATCTCGTAGTCAAAGCCCATCAGTTTAGCAACCCATTTCTGCTTCTCGGGGGTGGTGATGCGTTGATCTAGCAAGTATTTAAGACTTCTCTGCTCCGTCCGAATGACGAATTTGCGGCCCAAAACATAAGGCCTCCAAGTTTGAACTGCTGTGACTACTGCCAACATCTCCTTGGCATAGGTGGACAGCGCCTGCTTTGATTTGCCCAAGGCCCGGCTCATATAAGCAATGGGCCGATCGGACTGCATCAAGACGGCCCCGATACCTGTTCCCGACGCGTCCGTTTCGATGACAAATGGGGCATTGAAATTCGGCATTGCCAACACCGGCGTGGACGTCATGGTTGTCTTCAATTTGTGAAAGGCTTCTGTTGCGTCTTGTGTCCATTCGAACTGCCCTTTTTTTTAATAAGTTGATCGGAGGCCGCGCGATGGATCCGTAGTTCTGAACGAATTTCCGGTAGTACCCGGTGAGCCCGAGGAAGCCGCGTAGTTCCGTGATGGTGGTGGGAATCGGCCAATCCACCATTGCTTTGATCTTGTGTGGGTCGACCTTGACGCCATGGGTGGTGATGATGTGCCCAAGATACTCGATTTCCTGTAAACCAAACACGCACTTTGAGAACTTAACAAAGAATTGATGATTTTGAAGGATAGAGAGGACCTGGCGGACGTGATCAACATGGCTCTCCTTGTCTGGACTGTAGATCAGGATGTCATCGAAGAAAACCAGGACAAACTTGCGGAGTAACGGCATAAAAATCTCATTCATGATAGCTTGGGACGTCGACGGAGCATTGCACGGCCCAAAAGGCATAACGAGATATTCGTAATGGCCGTTATGGGTGCGAAATGCCGTTTTCGGCACGTCCTCGTCTTCCATTCTGACTTGATGATATCCGGCGCGGAGATCGAGTTTTGTAAAATAGGCCGCACCGTGTAGTTCGTCCAACATATCATCCACCGTTGGGATCGGAAACCGGTCCTTGACGGTCACCGCATTCAACGCATGATAGTCGGTGCAAAATCGCCACGAGCCGTCCTTTTTCTTGACGAGCAGTACTGGGGAAGAGAATGGGCTTGTACTGGGCTGTATCAATCCAGCCTGTAGCATTTTATTAACCTGCTCTTCTATTTCTGCCTTTTGGAAGTAAGCGTAGCGATACGGATGAACGTTGACGGCTTCTGTACCCTCCTTTAAGACGATGCGGTGCCCTATGTTGCGACGCGGAGGAAGGTGGGTCGGGTCCCCAAACAGCGCCTCAAACTCACGGATGACGTCCTGAAGCTCGGAAGGTACTGGTTGGAGCGGTTCGTCTATTGGCGGGGGCAAACAGATGGCCCGCAAGCCTGGTGCTTCCCGGATAATCTCGCGAACACTTGCGGCCGTAGCTTCTTTTGAGGTGATGCCCTGGAGCCTGCGGGACTGTCCTTCCCATGTGAAGGTCATTTCCAGTGTCTGCCAGTTGCTTTGAATTGTGCCCGACGTGGCCAGCCACTGAATTCCTAGGACAAGGTCAAACCCGGAGAGAGGAATCGCAAATAATGTCACCGGAAATTGGATCCCTTGTATGTTGAGCTGGACGCCCTCATATTTGCCGGAGCACTTCAGAGGTTCCCCATTCGCGATCTTCACATTGAATGCAGGGATCGGGGTGCCGGCGAGTTGGAGGGCATCGGCGGCTTTGAAGCTGATGAAATTGTGCGTGGACCCGCTGTCGATGAGGGCCACCAATCGGGTCTGACCCACGGTAACCCAGACGCGCATGGTTCGCCCCCCAGATTGGCCCGCGATCGCGTTGACGGAGACTTCGGCAGTATCGGCCATCTCGTCCTCATCTTCATCGAGTAGCAGCATTAGCCGAGGTCGGGCACATCGGTGCGCTGGGGTAAATTTCTCGTCACAGTTGAAACATAGACCAGCTGCGCGTCGACGATTAATCTCTTCGTGGGACAACCTTTTGTTGCCCGTCGGAGCTTGCGGCCGATTACGATGACCTGGCTGTACCTCAGCGTGGTGTTCTCCAGCGCGCGGGCGTGCGACGAAGGAGGCATCGTAGTGGCCTCTGGATTTGAGTCGTGGCGGCGTCGTATAATCAGCGGGGGACCGATACGCGTGGCGCGGCGGACTTTGGACGCGGTTGAGCTGCTCGTCTCGCACTCGAGCCAAGTTAATGGCTTCCATGAGAGTCCTGGGATTAAAAATTCTGATTCCATCCGCCACTTCCGGTTTGAGCCCTCCTAGGAAAGTCCCTACCAAAGCTTGTTGCGTCCAACCACGAACCCGATTACCGAGCCTCTCAAATTCCGTTTGATATTCCCTCAATGTACCTGTCTGCCGGATACGAGAAAGAGCTTCGTCAAACCCAGTGCCCGCTGTTGGACTGAATCGAGCCCAAAGCTCCGTGGAGAAGCTTTCCCACGTTATGGGTATGTCATCCGTGCGATAAGTGCGTCGTAGCCATTGCCACCATTGATTCGCATCTCCCTCGAGATGGTAAGAGGCTAGCGTCACCTTCTGGCCCTCTGGAATAGCTTGGAACTCAAAGAACTGTTCTACGCGGGAGAACCAGACGGTGGGGTCTTTGCCGGCATAGGTGGGAAACTCCAAACGAGCAAGCTTAGCTCCAAAAAAGGGCTGGCGGTCTCGTTCGTCCTCATCCTCAGGTGGTTGTCGTCGACCACGGCCATTTACAGATCGTTCGCCATCGTCGACGGATCGTGCCTCGGACCTAGCTGCTTGATCTTGCGCGATCTGATTGACAACGGTTTGGACGGCCGGTTCATTGATGATCGCCTGGATGCCGGTTTGGTTCTTTTGAGTGGCGGTTTCGAGAGCTTCGATACGTTGAGCGTGGGTGCCCATGCCGGGCTCTGATACCAAATGATACGGGCTGAAATTATATCGATCGTGCTCTTCCTTTTCTTGGCAGGAAGAAGCCAGTGCTCTACTTTCTTGGCTAGAACAACCAGTATGTCTATTGACTCAAATAATGCTTGCCGTTTATTCATTCATGAAGAACTTAAATAACCAATGTTTGAACAAAGAAATCCTAACCAGCAGGAACTACTTCCCATGTCTACCTAACTCTCCTCCACTTAAGGTGGGGATGATCTTTATTTGAAACAACCAAAACAACCAATTGCAGATACCCCCTTGACTCGATCAATAACAAACAAACCTACTACTACCCTCGGCAAGTTTAATAGTTCCGTTACTCGTAATCGCGGTAGCGGGGGTTGGGCTGTGGTACCCGAGTCGAATGACGTGTAGGCTCATTGTGGCGTGGGAGCCCATCAACTCAATTGGCAACAGTTGATCATGGAATGGATTTTCCTCGAGTCGGGAGGTTTAGTGTACAACCCCTACAAACAAGAGGCCGATGGTTCAAACTTCAACCATAGTCATTTTCGACTTCATCTATACAAAGTGGTTAAATAACAAAAATCAAACGAAAAGGATTTAATTTTGATTAACAAAAATCCTCGATATGATTATAATTATCATTTCTAGGGTGTTTTTTGTTCTTTCTAATATTGTATCCTTTATAGGGTGCTTTAACTTTAATTAACACAAGACTCGAAACAATTTCCAGCCCTAACTTCAATATCAAGAAAAGCCGTACACCATTAGTATTTTATGACACAGCCAGCACATTGAAAGGAGAAGAATCACCGTCATTGGTCGCCTTTTGAACGACAACACATCTAATCCACCAGATTGCAACTTGAGCCATTAATAAATAAAAAGATGTTCAACTGTGGTGCCTCAAATTCTTCAATGCCAAAGAAAGAAACCTTTTGACATCAAAAGGCCAGCATCTGAAACGAAACAGAGCAAAAAGCAAAAAGGCTATACACTTTTCTTTCTTTATCCTCTTCCTAATGTTTTCTCCCCTTGGTTTCTTTTTCATTTCCTACTATGCGTTTTAGCTTCCAAAGATGCGCCATCTTTCAAAGTCTCTTGTGCATCGCTGTCCATTCCAAGGCTGAAGAGAGCAGCAGCTTGGAGATAGAAAGCAGTGGACCACTCTGGAGATACAGACTGAGCTTGCATTGCGTCTCCAAGTGCCTCTTGCTGCATCTCCCCCACCAAATAGCACAGGCACCTCCTCGCGTATACCGTAGGGGACACCATCGTCCCGCCATCAATGAACTACATTCAAACCACAGATGAACACACAAGCGTTAATGCTTTTTTTGGTTTCCCATTTTAGTGAAACAGGTACGCCAGGGAATAAATGAATGGTCTTCAAAGCTTCACGCTGTAGTTTTTACTGAAGTGCTAAGAAGTAATAACGACACAAGTACTGTACTTACTTGTGTATAACAGTCCATAGCTGTTGAGAAGTCCTTGGCTCGGAATGCAGCATCCCCACGCTTCTTACAGTTCAGTGTCTCCTGTATCTGATCTGTCCACATCAGGAAGGAAAGCTGCAAGTTCACAAAGGTATAGGGTTTATCACATTATTACTCGGTCCAGGGAAAAGGCAGAGTGCTGCATCCAACTCTATATGGATCATCAGTTCAACAGTGTGAACAACACCAGTTTGGTGATAGTATAAGAAGTGTAGAAAAGTATCTGTTAACATGGGGCAATATTGTCCCTGCTGATACTGTTGGGCTACAGATTCTAAGTGAAGTCAGTTATTGTCATTGTCTACCTCACAGCCTTGAAAGAAATTAAAAGATTGGACATAAGCCACAGAAAGACTAATTTTTTGTCACACAGATATGAATCAACGGAGAAAGTCAGCATCCAATACTGTTTACCAACCTCATTTGCAATGCCCTCATCATCTTTGTATCCAACCTTTTCAAGTATCTCGTGTATTGCAGTAAGATCCAGCCTTGAGCAAGCTTCACCTAAAGGCGACAATGATATCGGTTCCTGGGCGGCTTCAGTTCCATGTGGAATGCCCATTAGAGTATAGGACGGAACCTACCAAAGACAAGTAGGGGAGTCCAGTGATCTAATTTTAGCAGCTAAAAAGAGAGCAGCAGCAGTCATCAAATAGAAGAACATAGACCCAAGTATTATAGTCAGATGCTACTGCCCTGATATTTTGGTTAGTTGGCAATGTCTTATCTACAGCATGAGCCATGAGTGAAACAGTTATGTCATGAGGAACAACACCATGCTACAGCTTCTGTTGAAAATCAAGCCAGGGGGGAAGAAAAGGAATGCATACCTCTGTTTGCTTCTGAAGAGGGGCCAGTGCAGCCACAAGGGACTTTGCAGTCGGTCTCTCACGAGCTTCAAACTGTAAGCAACGTGTGGCTAATCGCACTAATTCAGTACCATCATCGTTAGAAAAATCACCTTCCAAGCAAGAGTCCATCAGCATCATATGATTCTTCCCTCGTATAAGATCAAGTGCCTGTAACCAAAGTAAACGGGACAACACTGCGCAATTAGGATTTATCATCTTTATAACGACCCAGATAAGCAATAGAGCGAGATCCTCATATACCAACTTTGAAGCACAGATAAGAACTTAGATACTATAATGGCAGGTGTAAACCATAGTAAGCCTACAGAAGTACAGATGAAAGTTAAAATCTTGTAAGGGAAAGACAATTACATGGCTTGGGGGTATATGCTTCCCACTAAGAAGATCAAGTAACAGGGTTCCGAAGCTGTAAACTACACTCTCTGGTGTTACTCTTCCTGCCACACAACCACAATACACATGGGTCAAACAAGTAACACGGGAAGAATGACAGTAATGATTCAAAACAAACGCAGGTTCTCACCAGTCCTCAAATACTCAGGAGGAGTGAAGGCCAAGTTTGTACTGTAACTCTTGCCATCCCTGCTGTTCTTCATTAGACCAAAGCAGGAAAGCCTTGGATTACCATCCTGAGAAGTTGCCATCAACTCAGTACAACCGAACGAAATGGGCATGGCCAACATATGGAACCATAAAAGAGAGAAAAAGAAAAGTCATTTAGGAAAGAAGTGAAGGCTGCTGCTCAAAATGGTACCTGGTCAAACAAAACTCTGTAAGCATTGAGGTCGTGATACAGAGCTCGCCCCTTGGCACTGCAGTATTCTAGAGCCTGAGCTAGATAGAGGGCCACTCTCAGCCTCATTGGCCATTTCATATGCTGGTTCTCCCCTGGACCCATTTTGCACGCAGAAACGAAAAGAAGGTTTTTACAACAGCAGAATCGAAGTGAAGTCAAAATGGGATCGTCGTTGTGAAGCTTCTTACAGTGGAAAAGATGCTTGGAGAGGGTCTCATGAGGCATGAACTCGGCGACCAGCAACCTATCATCCCCGGCACAGCAACAACCCAACAAGTTGGTCAGTCTCTCGCTCCTCAACTGCCCCACGGCCTTGGCCTCCTCCTACGCCCAGGTCACAAGCAGCCGAATCGCCCATAAGAACATTTCATTATTTATTAATCCTCAGTGAAAAGGAAAACCCCTACTTTAGGAAACAAATAAACAAACAAAAAGAGAGAGAGAGAGAGAGGAGAGCAGAAAGAAATCAAAGAGGTGCGCACGAGGAATTGGCGAGAATCAGGCCAAGCGGACTTGTTGAAGCGTTTGACCGCGATCCATCGGTCTTCTCCCCTGAGCTTCCCCTTGTAAACCACATTGGGAGCTTTCTCGCCGTGCTCCGACACTATGTTGTCCGGACTGAACCCGGACGTCGCCGCTCGCAGCTGCTCCAGGCTGTACTCTCTAAAACCCGGCACCGCCTCCCCATTCTCTAAACACCAAAAGAAAAAACGGAATCAGTGGCGAAGATAAGAGAAATGCTGCAGCTGGGTGTAGCACAGTTTCCCGAGAAAGTGACGGAAAATCTTGGGAAGGAAAGAAGGAAAAAATAAATTTGTAAAACAGAGTGACGGAGACGAACCGAGATCGGATAAGGCGTGGTGGTTGGGTTTGAGACGGGAGGAAGAAGGCCACCAGCAGAGAGAAAGCTTGGAACAACGACAACCCATTGTCCTTGCAATAGGAAATGTGTGTAAGCTCTGAAGCTCAGACAGCAATCACACACACTGCTAGACGCTAGCTGTTTCTTTCTTCTTCTTCTTATTTTTATTTTGGGTTGCTTCACTTTCTATCGTTTTCTCGGGGAGTGGAAGAGCGTTTTAAGGAAGTGGGAAAAGGAGGGAGGAGGAGACAGAGAACAGAGAGGTCGCCAACGTTGTTTGGCAAGCAAGAAAGTTGAAAAGAAAACTAGCTTTTTTGGATCCAACCCCAACCACAACCAGGCTTCTCTCACAAAATATTTTCACCCACCCTGCCTTCATCATTCTCTCGTTTTATGGCTTCCCGTTCCCTTCATTTCTTTTTCTTTTTTAAAATTTCTTTCAAGATTTCGTTTCTGCTTTCGGGTAATTCGGGGAGTGAGGCAACGCATGTCGACTCTCCGATACGGCCGCGTGGAGAGGGGTTAAAGGTTAAAAATATAAAGTACCTACCGCGGTAATTTTTTTGTTTTGTTTGGACTTTGGAGAGTAACAATTAGGACGTCTATTTATTTACTATTTAGTTTTGACTGTGTTATTGCTGCTTGTTGAAGTTGGGTGGCGCGTGGAAGAAAAGAAATCATGTATCCGCGGAGGGACGCCCGGGATTCATCGTGGGGTCAAAGTCAAAGGTAGGAAGAGAAGGAAAGAAAGTGTGAAGGGGATTTCTGTGAGAGCGAATAGATTAGTAGGTAAAGTGGCATTCATGGAATGAAAATGGTGGCCTCATTTATCATCTAAACCCTACTTTGGAATAGATCTGCTTATCCGTCATATTTTTTTTAAAGCTTAGTCTAAGACTCTTTTATAGAATGATCTAGGTTTTATTATTGATATTAGTAGTTTTGTGCTAATTGAGTTAAAAGTACTTTCTTCAATCTTCAATCTTAATGTCGGTATATGATAGAACAATTTACTATTACAAATGTTTGTTACAAGACGGGCCAATGCAAATGTTTGAATGTACAGAAAGCAAAGGAAGAGGAGGAGTTAAGTCGGTTGTTCAGCTATATCAATTAATCAAACGTATCGTGTTTATCTCGCTTGCACCTAGATAAATCGGAGGGGCATTTTGAGAAGAAGTTTACGGGTATTTTGAAGCAAATATGAGTTTCATTGTTGCCTCCTTCTGTCCTCCATGAGACATATGGAACCAAGTTAACCTTCCATGGCCAACCTATGCTTTCTTTCTTGATCAATGTGTCCTAATCTTGAATGCAAGGTTGTCAAATTGGATTAAGTCATCAAGACGGTTTGACAAGTGATTGGAGGTTTAATGGTATGATCGGATTCAATCAGTTTAATTCGATTTTAACATAATAAGTGAGAAAAAGTCTAATACTAAATAAATTATGCATATATTTGCCATGTTTTAAAACAATCTCACTAATTTATATTCATATATTACCAAATTATTTCTTCAAAAGAAATTATATTACAATATTATCAATCCTCATTAAACCTAATTTTTGCTGGTCAAATATGGTTTTCACTTTTTCAGAATAGTCCAACCGAAGTGTATTCCAATCATTTAGATGGTCGATTCCGATCGAACCTGGTTGAATCGACCGATCAGACGGGGGGTTGACAACCTTGCTTGAATGTCGATGAACTAGGTCTCCACATTCATATACATAACAAATTGATGATCCATTAGTTGTACTGGTTGTTTACACAAATAAACCACCCTCAAGCCAACATATGCATAACATGACATTATTCTTTTAGATGTCCAGATTATATCCATTGAAATCTAAGAGAAAAACAAACCTTACAAGGCAATGAATGATACAATGTTTCTTGATAATACATGGTACATAGAAGACATCACTAGTGCTAAACTAGGGGATTTTTTCAGAAATAGCACCATTAAAAAAAATTCAAAAATAACACCCCGGCCACACAAATTCCAAAAGTAGCACCCTTTTTTAAAAACCGCACGACCAAGGTGCAGTTTACATATAAACCGCAACCTGAGGGTATGGTTTGCTTTTCAGAACGTGAATCGCACCTTGGACAGGCGGTTTGCTTTCTGACCTACCAGAATCGCATCCTGGCAAGGCGGTTCTTAGGCTGACCTAGCAAAATCGCCTGTTGAGAATGTGGTTTCTGTTTCTCTAACACAAACCGCATCCTCAGGGTGCGGTTTTCATTTGCCGACACACAAACTGCACCCCTGCGGTTTGTGTGTCGTCCCCATTTTCCTGACAACCAGCATGTTGGCCATGCAGGTTGACAGACGTGGGGCTGCATGGCAGATGAAAACCGCACCCTCCCCCTGCGGTTTTTAGTGATGATTTAGCCTATAAAAGGCAGCCCCGAGAAACCTCTTTTCTTCACATCTCTCCTTCTTCTTCTTCTTCTTCTTCTTCTTCTTCTTCTTCAATTTTCTGTTGTAGCACCCTACTTTTTGTTGTTTTTGCGATTAGCGTTATCTCATAAGTTTATTTTGTATTACTTTTTATTGTGATTTGTGATTTTTATGATTTTAACTGAATTACGATTTTATTGCAGATGACATTCCAAAAGTTCACGCTTCGGTTACGTTGGAATGGTTACACAGAAGAGACTGGAAAGGGGGTCACCTACGTCAGTGGCAATTTTCAGAAAATAAAGGTCTTTACCAGACCGATGCTTGAAGACCTTCATCAAATGTGTACTAACGTTATTTTTGTGGACTGGGTGCTATTTTTGTATTTTTTTTTAAAAAGATGCTATTATTGGAAAAAATCCCTAAACTAGATCCTCCTTCTATAAGAACTAGACCAACTTAGTATTTGGTGGCACTTTAAGATAACATACAAATAAACCCTTGTCATTTTTATTTAGTCATTGGCTCCATAATAAGCGATCCACAATGAATAGTGTTCTACCATGAAAACATATGACACAAAGTGTAACATTAATTAGTTTTGTTGTTTATATGTGTTATCTTTGACCTAGATCAAATCGCCCTAAACCTTTGATTCATCGACATAATCGTGTCTATAGATATGGATTTGTGAATGCTTATGTTTGGAGTTCGATACTCTCTTTTGATGTTCATCTCAGACTCATTATTTACCATACTCGTAATGCATTATAAAGATCAAGAGAATACAATCATCATTATTTCAGTTTTCATAACAATATAACATTGTCCTCGAGTTTAATTGTAGATTAGTACTATTGTTTCAGGATGGACCAAAATCATGCTCATGTCAATGAAATGAAATCCACTTAGTTATGATAGTTGAAATTTCCTACCTACTCGACTAATACAAGGGGAGTAACCACCCCCTCTCTTGGATGAACCAACCAATCCAGCAACATTTTATTGGGTCCAATTATAACCATCTCATAGACCCACCTATCTCAAATGTGTATACGGATGTCTTCATATAAACACAATGTGACAAGTTGTCATATGTTGCATCACTAACCCCATCGGGCTACTCTAGTTGGTGTCACAAACCATATTTCAGTGTCATTAACCTTGTGAGCTGACCATAACTAAGTTTAGTTGACTTGTGTTACTAGGAGTGGTGTTGAGCTAAACTGAGCTAATGGTGACCTGGAAATTATGGAACCAAATGGTTGTCTGGCAAGGCTGCAACTTGCAAGTTGAGCTCCTTGGAAAGCTGCACTTTCCTCTTCGATTCCAGCTTGTTCTCTCCATCTCAAAGCTTTTTCCCAAGGATTGATGGTGAGCCACATTTTCTCAAAGCTTTTCTTTCACCCAAGTCTGGAAGAAATTTCCTCCGTCCATGTCATCTCTGACCACAAGTCCGCAACACTATCGAAATACACCATATGCCCGTCCCTAAGAACTAAAAAACGTTCCACAAAGAGAAAACATAGGTTCAAAAAGGGAGAAGGTTAAATTACCTTGGAAATCAACAAAAGGGGAGGAGTCCAGTGAGTTGCTGCTGGATTTTTTGAACTAATCTAGTCTGACTCGATCATAAAACAACCAATGCTCGCCCATTTTGGTTCCTTAGTACAAACCATACCCAACCAGAATTATTTGGTCTAGTCCTAATTGAAACCCTATAATATGTGATTTTCTCCCGTTGAAATAATATAATATTTTGTCCGGTTTCTAATCGTTATTTTGGCCAAATAACAACCCAATTAATTGGGTAAACTTGATACGGTTTGACCTATTCGTACCAATTTCCACACCTAATAGGATGTAAATAGAACTTCAAGAAGACTAACATGGATGGTCATGTGATTACCGTTCAAGGCCAACCAGCACCAAAAGGTTTCGAGAAAATTCAAGGAATTCATCGAAATTCAAGGAATTGGTTATGATTTTTTTTTCTTCTCTAGTGGCCATGATAAATTCAATTAGAATTATATTGGACATAGCCATATACCATGATTTTGAGCTAGAAAATGGATATCATAACTTAATTCATAACAAGAAACTCCGGGAGGACGTGTATATGACCTAGCTAGATAGTTTTATCCTTCTAGGTTGTATGATAAAGTATTCAACGTGTAAAGATCCATTCATGGATGAACAAAATAGTTTGGTTTCATTAATAAAATAAAAATGAGCTTTGGGATAGATTGTGTAGCTGATTGGTTTCATAGTGCATTTACATGCATCTTTGATAAGATATCTTTAGAGAGAGATTGTGTAGCTGATTGGTTTAAGTCACAATATCAATATACTCAAGGTGCTAGAAAGGTTTAACAGGGAAGAATCCAAAACATGATACTTGCCAGTTGCCAATTAGGCATGTGTTTGCCCAGATGAACAATAGGCTCACGAGAACATGTTCCAACATCAACCACGCAGAGCCATCATCAGCTTGTGCTAATGTCTATATGTACAATTCACTGCTGAGATTGCTTACAAAACTCTGATTTTATGCAGTCTATCTAATCTTTACTTTCTTAGCCTGTGATTTGGAATCTTCGCAATTTGCAAGAGCCTGAGAATTCAAACAAATAGAAGAGAAAAAATGTATGCTAGCTAAGGACCTCGATCGACTGACACACTCAATCTGCAAACTCGACAGAAAACACGCCTAGTAGATTCTGATGCTCGTCTTTGTTCCTGCTATCCTTATTGGTCTGTGGCAGCAGAGGGAGAGATGTCAAGCCTGGCCGATCAGGTAATTCTGCATTGAAAGCAATACTATAGTTCAAACACCATAGACCAGTTAAGATCTTCAAGTTTAGACATTCACAACGCTAAGGTGCTAACCTAGTAATTTCCTGTCAAGAAAGAATATTACCAAGTTTACTGTATACCTGCATAAACATTAAACATCTGAATATCAATGGTGAAGCTCAGGAATAGTCCCACAAATAAAAGAAAACATAACTTCCTTTTACCATGCAACAACAACATCGACGGTGTAATGTTTTCGGGATGCTAGAATAAGAAGGCTTTGAAACACAGCAAGCAACCAAGCAAAGTATTTTATGCACCTGTTAAACACGCATAAAATAAGATCAACGCACATATACTAGTTACTACATGCTAAAAATGTCACCATGATCATGATCTTGGGTTTTCTGCTCTACTTTTTGTTTATGCTAGTAAAATACAGTTAGTGCAACTATGAACTATTTTACTTACCTTTTCGTGCCATACCGACAATATGTCTTCACAAACACGATAGTAAAAATCATGTGTGATGAAAAAATCAAATCACCACAACCATAGTTCACTCCTCGAGAAACTGCACATAAATGCATCCCCATGAAGAATCAACAATTCAATCTATCACAACAAGCTTAGTGAAACAATTCTAACAGTAAAAAAGAATCATCATAAATTGAAACAAATAAAAATGGAGATGAGTTGGGATGATAAAGGCAATACACTTATTTCCTATAAACATCGTGCACATATGGGCTTCAGGACTTACAGTTGATCACGAGCAATTCCACAGCACTCTCTGGAGGAGGAAGCTTGGCAAGTTTAGATCCCTGTAAGAGAGAGTTGTACCTGATTGTAAAAGATTAATTTAATCCCAAGTAGCTAACAACATGAAGTGAACAAACAACACCAGAATGACTTATATTTACCTCACGACAATGATAATTTGGACCAGGAAGCTGAGTTGAGTAGAACGTTACTATACGAAGAATCTGACAAACCTAAGATATTCAAAGGAATTAGAAACAAAAGATACTGAACCATTTAAATAAAGGAAGAAAAGGGTTAGCAGGGGAAAAAGATACTGACCCCTAGATAAGTAAGAACCCTGCACCATATTAGAACTGTATAAATTCTTTTGCTTTGTAGAACGAAAGGGTGAAATGTCCACTGCAATGGATGAATACTCATTAGACGATCCAACCATAGCAAAAAAAGTACAAATGTGCATGTTAGTATCAAGAATAATCCCTAAGTGATAACTGTTAATAGGCCAGTGGATCAAGGTAAAAAGTCATTAGCATGAATGATCATGTCACTTAACAAGGAATATATCAAGTTAAAATATAGGCATCATACAAGAAGGGCACAAAATCATACCAACACGAAAGACATAAATATGAATGTAAATAACATCTCGCTAATGTACGATCTCTCTTGACCAAGTTCCTGAATAGAACATAAACCATATTAGATGCAAATCAGTTATGCATCAAACTTAAACTGGACCACATTTTAGAGGATGGTCCTAACCGGAAGAAAGAAAAAACCAGTATCTTGAAGTGTTGGCCCTGGCCGGTGCATGTAATGGATCCCATGAGCAGCTAATCCATGTATATACTGCAGAAGTGTGAAAAAAAACATAAGAAACCATTGATTTGCTCATCCCATAATATTTTTGCTTGACCATCAGGAATGGCAAATGGAAAGATGCATCATTGTAAATGCACAACCTTGGAGGAAACAATTGAAAAAATAACGACAATTGAGAAGACAACAATAAAATCTCGAGAAAGACGAGGAATGAAGCTAGCAATAGGATCCGACCAACAATAAAACTGAATTTTAAATCGAACCATTAAACACCAAGCAGTAAAAGTAGAACTTACCTGGAAAAATATTCCGGCAAGAAGATGCTTCCAGTTTTCGGCAACGAGAAATAATTCTATCGACATTTCCGCGGATAATTTCCTCCATAGCTTCAATGGACCAAACCCGCAAGCGCCAAGTTCAACTCACATTCATAGAAAATCATGAAAGCTGGAAATTAAGGCAAGAGAAGATCGTGGCAGAAGACATGAAAGAAGAAACCAACCTTGAGAACCTTGCGATTGATGTAGATGAGCATTTTGGGGGAATGGGAGGTTGGGAAAGATTCGACATTTATTCAATGGAGGCCTTGGCAACCACCAACACAATCGCAACAGCCGATAGCTTCTTCTTCTTGCATCATCTCCTCTAACCCTACACACTTTACGATTCTTTTCTTCCTCGTAAAATCATTCGAGTGAGGGAATTTCAAGAAAAAACACAAAAATATTCCCAATTCGGAGCAGCAGAGGAATTCGACAGAAGAAATAAGTTAAGTTGCAGAAAGGAATTTGATTACATTAGGATTCGAATGAAACTTTTCAAATTCTATGGAAACTGAAAAAGTTACAAAATCTCAATCTCTCTCTCTATTGTTTGTTCTTGTTATTCACTCAACAAGAGAAGGTGGGAAAACTTGATGATTTTGAAAAGAGAAATTAGAAACAAGAAAGAGAGAGTGGAAATTAAAGGAAGGAGAAAATGACAGAGAGAAAAGGGAACAACAAACGAAAAAGGCTGTTAGTAGGGGTGGGCAACAGGACGGGACGGGGTACCCGTCCCGTTTTAAACGGGTACCCAGTCCTATTTGGAGGCCAAAATCCATCCCATATCCTAAATCCATATGAGAAACGGGTACCCATTACCCGTACGGGATGGATAACGGGTACCTATACTACCCATAAATACCCAAAGTTTAAACTACTCAAATTTTAACAAAAGTTTAAACTTAACTTGTACTTGCTTAACAATCACAAGACACAAATCATGAACAATCACAACGCATAGAAAAAATCATTCTAAGCACCAAATTATCAAATAAGAAGTTTCATTCAACACAAATCATGAACAATCACAACGCATAGAAATAAATCATTCTAAGCACCAAATTATCAAATAAGAAGTTTCATTTAACAAAAGGGAGTCTACAAGTATTATGTTCACATAGCGTTCTTTGTTTCTTTACTAAGAAAAGTTTCATCTTTGTGGCGAAGTGGACATTCCCTTTTTATGGATTAGAGTTCGCAAATGGGTAAAACGGGTACCCACATTACCCAAACGGGTATTTGCGGGTAACCCGCGGGTACCCATATTAGGAATGTACAATCCCAAGTCCCATCCGTTCATAATATTACGGATAATATGGGTACCCGTAACCCTTAAAAAACGGGATGGGTACGGATATACCCAAATACCCGTTTCCCGTTGCCCACCCCTAGCTGTTAGCAAAATGCTCTACCTTGTGTATGCCTGTATCGACGCCACTCCATCCATTGGGCCAAAGGCCAAATATACTTCAAGAATTTGGGCTTTTCTGTTGAGACCCATGTGACGTTATCATCGCCGTAATGTGTGTAATTTGCTTGCAATTGCAATTAGTTGGCTTAATCATCTAAGTAGTAAGTAGTTTTCATAAATTAAAACAAATTAATGAAGGGGAAACAAATATTTTGTTTAAAATTTTTCTATTGCATCTTTCTTTCTACTTGCCTATTCCGTTAGTACAGTTTCCTTGCAATCGACTGTTGTTGCAGCTCATAAGCAGCAGCTGCTTCTTTAAGGTTAAAGCATTTCCTCAACAAATCCAGGCTTGCCTTGCCTGTGAATTGTGATGGCAGTTGACAGATGGATCATGGATGATTGTGATTCAAGAAATCCAATTCATTTTATTTCCTTTCTTCTTGGCAATATATCACACTCGTATTTTACGATTCAAAGACACAGTAAAGTTGTCAAGAGCTTAAGGATTTACTGAGCTGCCTTGTTCGAGTCACAGGCCAACGGAAATGGCCTCCAAAACCTCTAAGGATTCTGGATCTAACTTGGTAGTACTCTGAGGAAACCCAAAGCAGATCAAAAGAACCGATGCCAGAAAACGATTGAATCCACTGATGCAATAATTAATAAAATAAGAGACGAAACACCATCACTTCATTCATGCTGATATGCACACTTGACATATATCACGAAGGTACCAGAGTTTCAAGGTTCAGCTGATGCTACTTGTATCGATCCAACAACATAAAAAGAAACTAGTCTTCACTGCTACTGCTACTAGAGTTATAAGAGGGTTCAGCATCACCCATCGAGCTGCTTATTCTTCTCCCATTCCAACTGCAGGATTGCATAGTCGCTCATCCCAATCTAGTTCATATATATTTATATGAGAAATATTCTATCTGTGCCGCCTGTATAATTACAAAAGCATTCATCTTTCTTCTTCCTCGATCCTTGGAGAATGCTTGTCAAAAGAGCGAACAGCATATTAAGCAGAACTAGACCCTTCCCACAGGAGAAACGGGAGGGTATGAGACATATCTTGCAGGAATCTCTCCGCCAATTCCAGGTCCTCCTGTCCATGCATCATTTTGGGCAAGTAGGGCGTCCAGAGTAGCTTTTCCCTCGAGCGAGCTGCATGATTCTTCGACTTCTATAAGTTTCTTACCATCCACGACTGCTATACAGAGGGCGAATGCTTGCAGAGGTGAAAGCAATGAATGGAACTCGACCGTGTGGATCCCATCCTTATAAGGTGCCAGGCTGAACACAGGCTCATTATTTCCTTCTCCCCCCTATCAGAACAAGTAAGAAATGCAGGGTCAGAAATGATTAATTCTGGTGCCGTTGATTTTATCTTCCCAGCTTGCTTAATGGAAACTTTACCTGAGGGATGAGATCAAATTTATCCGTAGTAGTAGAACAAGGCTGGAATGGAACTGGTTTCTGATTAAATTCATTTGTGTTGTTGTCGAGAACCCGAAGATTACAGCCCAAATCCCAACCTCCACAATCACATGACCCCCCAGATTTCCAACGTTGGAGCAATGATGAAGGCCCTTCCTTGGTGGTGGGTATTGAATGAACACCACCAGGAAGTACAGCTGTCACACTGATAAAGCTTTCATTTGCAACTACACGGTGCTGATACTGTGCAGTCTGACTAGAAGCAGATCTGGATCCCCCTTGTTGCAGATTGCAGCCACTCTCAGGTTCAGGCTCATGTCTCATTGTCTTCTTGTTGATAACTGTCCTTGGGACCTTGACCACAACAGCGGCAAGCTCGTCGTTTGGCTGGAACTCCAATGTCTGCTGCTCCTGCTGCTGGGGTTCTGATTGTGGTAACAAGTCCACAGCAAATAAAACAAACTCTCTGGCAGCACAATGTTGCTGCTCCAGATAGTCTGATCCAGTCAACCCAGAAACCCTAAGTTGTGCTACAACATTGGGGACATACTCGTGAGTTTTGCCTTTTCCTTTCCCACCTTTTTGATGATTCATCCAACTCCCATTCTTCTTCTTCGCTTCTTGAATGGAAAAAAATGTATAAATGTAACCATCATCTGAAGCAGAACTCAACTTCTTCATTGTGGCAGCAAGAATGTCAGGTTGATTGTTGACAGCAAATGTAAAAAGTGGCTGCCCATTCTTAACTGCTACTCGCAGCAAGGCCTGAAATGCACTTGACTTTTTCTTCATCTTAAGAGGGAAATCCTTGACACTTGTATCCCTAACATTGGTCGCATCCAAGCTTACTCTCCCAGCAGGATGTGAACTTGGAGAGGAAGAACATACTTGCCTGTCTGATGATTTACAGCATGTGTCTACAGAAGAATTAACATCTCTACCCCTCGTCAAATGACAGTTTTGTGGAACCTTGGGCTTCAGAAGTGGGTCCAGCAGTCTTCTCAAAGGGCTTGACCTCGACCTGCCACTGCTAGTAGCTTGCCCAACAGCAATGCCATCCTCAGAACCAGAATTTGCAGACTTGCAGGACGAAGTTGATTGTGGTACAGCTGCAGTCTCTTTTGGGATTAAACTTCTAGTTATCTTTCCCATACCCATGCTAAGTCTGCGAAATGGAGACGTACTCCTTATCTTTTCTGGAGGAGTTAGCTTATCCAGTTTCAGATTTGCTCCAGAGGAGGTCTCTCGCAGACCAGCAGCATTTCTCTGAGTTACATTGGCTTCAACAGTTATGCAAAGGTTTGATGGTTCTTCACTTACTTCAGCTTGATGATGTGCAGACTGGGAGGAATGTGGTGAAAAGGAGTTCTGTGCTTCAACTTCTCTATCACTTTCATATGGCAGAGGGCATGAGTGTGGGACATTTGAACTGACTACAGTATAGTGTATTTCCCTAGGTTTCTGCAGAGAACTCCTATGATGAACTTCTGCTGATCTTCGACCTAAGATCATCGTTGACTTTGGACACTTGGGAATCCCGGAACGAGAACCATTTGCATCATCTTTGGGTAGAAGAAGAACCACTGGTTCGCTCTTTTGACAGTTTTCCCTGTCTATCACGTTTACCTTTCGTTCTTGCATCTTATCAGGTCTCCTCGTGTATCCCTGGTCTATAACCTTCATCTTATCTCTGACCACTTCTTGTGTTTTGCACTTTACGCCACTAACACTACTTCTAGAGTTCATCTTTTGACCAGTCACATCTTTTCTCCTCCTCCATTGATCAAAGCTTAATTCTAGAGGGTCCTCTGAAATAGCTTTGTCCATTCTTGTGTATGTTGCTTGCTCAGCACTTCTAGTGTCAGTCGCAAGACGACTGTGATGGTCGTGAGAATTTCCATCACCTTCATCAGAGGAGTTGAGAATCTGAGAATGCCTAGTTGCTGACGATGGCGACAACGACGACAAATGGAACTGCAATGACGGATGACGCATCCTTTGGCGAGAAGGAGAAGAGCTCTGACCTCTACTTGAATTAACAGAAGATCCTTCCGATACAAATGATGAACATGAATTATTACTCGACACTGAAAGCCTTCTATGATGGCTGCTGCTGTACTGCCACTTCTCAAGACGACTCCAGTCCAGTACTCCAACGTTCAAGAATTTCTCTTGTTGAGCTCTACCTTTCTCCAGATAACTTGGCAAATTCGACATATACTTTACGAGCTCCTCTTCTTCTGCTGCCTTCTTATTTTGCTTCTTTGAGATCTCTTCCACACTCTCCGTGATGTGACGATGAAGATCAGAATAAGACAGATGCTTTTCTTTTGGCTTGGATCTTTCAGGCAGTTGTGGACTCTGAGACCCTGCTGGGACTGTTCGACTTGTACTAGAAGCTGCTGAAGGTTGACGATTCCTCAAATTCCTTTCCAGCTCCAACTGCTGTTCCATTTCATCTTCTTACTATTTGACGTGTTTCTTCAGCAGTATGCCTCAATTTGATCAAGCATTAGAGACCAGTAAGCTGCAAGTAAGCATACTTCAAGCATTCAGCAGGGACCACATATGTATCATTTCCTGGCTCAAGAATATTCTGAGCCTTGAGACATGAAAATGGAAGAACGTGACTGGCACTTCCAGGTAAACAAAAGGGGTAACTGCACAAAGGAGTTTCAGCTTCAGCTTCAAGAACCAAGCATGTGATCCA